CAGCACAGTATCGCACTGCCTTCGCTGACCAGGGGACGCTCAAGATTCGCATTTGAAGCACGATTGCCTACTGGATGCGGATGGCTTTTTCACCGTGGAGTCAGAAAATCATTTAATCGAACCAGCAGAAGTCAGATACTGTCTGTATATCCATTCATTGCTCAGAGAACAGTATTAATCTCATAATTCAGTGGTTAATTTTTTTTTTAGGTTTTAGGAATAGAGTTAGAATTTGCTAGATATTAAACTTGGTTATAGTTAAGCTTACCTCTACAGGTTTGGGCTTTGTTCAATCTATTTTGTTTGTTTTCCTACTTAATTTCAGATTAAGAACTAGTAAAATATTATTAGACTGAAAAGACTTTAGATGAAAAGAAAACTGTTCATTTTCTCTCTTCACATGGTGTCACTTTTTTCTTATAGAAAATATCCTTCCTAAAACTTAATTCACAATAATTTCAACATGTAATTTTTTCTGGTTTCTCACATAGGAGTTTTCCTGACATATTATTTTGCTTTATTATTGCTGCAATGGCTGTGGATATAAAGCTGTATGAGAAATTTATTTTTACTTTTTTAGTTTTTGTGTAATGGTAAATACCATAAATATTTCTATTATGTGTTATGCATCTAGTGTGGCAGGTATATAAAAGAGAAAAGCTTAGCATAGAATAGCAATGACTTCATTTTCTGTGATTCTGAACATCACGGAAGTGGGCTACCAGGACTAACCAAGAGAGAATAAGATATAATTGCTTGCCTAAAGTAATAAAAATCTTTCCAGTGCATCTCCTGAATACCAATGAAGGCAGATGACTTCAAGGAGAGACATTCTTCATTTGGGAAATAAGAAAGATCAAATAAGGGTGGTAATTAATTGAGACCAAAATGCAGCATTCATAGACCAGATATATACTAAGAATTGTTTCAGAAGGTCCATAAGGTAAATATTACTCTTCTCTGAAATACTCTGAAAGAATATGTTTGTTTAAAATATGCTGAATCCTCATGTGTGTCTCATAGACACTTCACAGAAATAGCATAGACTTAGAAAAGAGGGAGATGCTTCATCCTCTATGCCATTTTAACAGTTACACTCCAAGGACAGGAATTACATTTATATCTCAGAAGAGATACCTGAAAATGAGCACATTGCTTTTAGTTCAATTATTAATTCCCTTTTTATTTAACTTTTTTTGCTTTTTATAAAATAATTTATATGTGATCATTTCTTAGTAATTAGTAAAGAAGGAAAGAAAATTAGCTTTCAGTAATAAAACTTGATTACTGTAGTCACTTGAGATATACTCATTTTGCTACTCCTACTAAATGTGTCTATTACTCTTCTCATAGTCTCACTTTTACTCGCATTTAAAATAAAATCTTACTGTTGGGGAAATTAAATTAAATAATATGTGTAAAGTACTTAACACATACTAAGCTTCCAGTTTTAAGAAAGCTACTAGTATAATTCACAGTTACATTGCTTGTCTTCATTTCTGAGTGGTCTTGTTTTGGGAATATGAGAGAAGTGAGCTTTACTGAGTTGCTGAATTTGCTTTATTAAACCTTAGTAGGTGAGTGTACAGCGACTTTTTAAATGAGACCATGATGCTAGGTACTTCTGAATGGTACTACTTAGGTACACTCTGAATCTGAGGACAAAATGAAATAAAAATATGTCAGAACACATCTGACTGTACTGAGATTGAGAACTTTTAAACTGATAATTCATATGACACAGTATTTCATTATAAATGTTCAACCCAATTTGCTTTTTTTTTTTTTTTTTTTTAGCAAAAAAGATTGATTTATTTGAGAGGTAGAGTTACAGGTAGGGAGAGGGAGAGGGAGATGTTCAATCCAGTGGCTCACTCCCCACATGGCCATAATGGCTGCAGCTTCTTCCTGGTCTCCCACATGGGTGCAGGGTCCCAAGCACTTGGGCCATCCTCTGCTGCTTTCCTAGGCCATTAGGAGGGAACTGAATTGGAAATGGAGCAGCTGGGTCTGGAACTGGTGCCCATATGGGATACCGGCACTGTAGGCAGTGGCTTTACCCTCTACACCACAGCACTAGCCCCAATTTGCTTTTACTGAAGAAAAGAGTTTGTGGAAATAGTTTAAACCTGAAAATATGTGTATATACAAGCTGGGCTGTCAGTTAGAGTCACTTGTGCACCCTTTTAAAATACCAGTTTCTTTTTTCTACTACTAACCTTCTAAGAAAAGAAGCTAAACAGTCATGCACTGATATGTTTAACAAACCAGGTCTTAAGTGGAGTGTAGGGATGGAGTGCCCTGACTTGTAGTGTTTGCAGATTCCAGTGGTGTAAATAATTTCCAGCATAGTCTATGTTAAGCTATAAAGACAGCAACATTGAATATGGAGTTGGGAAAAGATACATACCAAAATAATTAGGAAGTGATGAGTTTTAATACTTTGTTTTTAATATAGCTAAGTGTAAATTTATGTAATTTAATTTCATTAATGACTGTAACAAGTTTCCAGAATTTCTGAAAATTTGACAAATCAGCCAATACCTAGTTTCTAAATACAGATCTGATCCTAAGGTATAAGCAGGCACTGTACAGTCAGACTTTGCAATGTCTTTTCTAGCCTCATTTCAAATCATACTGATTTCCTTACATTCTCTGTATGTCACCTATTTTAACTGTAGATGACTTGTAGCTTCTCAAAACACCTTGTGCTTTCCTGTGCCCCATGCTGTCTCCTTACCTTCCTTCAGCCGTAGTGACGTCCCTCATCTGCCTGATTTTGCAGTACTACTTATTTATTTTTCTAGAAATAACTAAGATGCTGTTTCCTCTTAGTTCCCACTGTGGGAAACATTCCCATTTCTTGATGTTCTCATAGCACTTCGTTTTACTTCATTGTGACCTCAAACTTATTGTCAATAACTAAATTTTGTTTCATTCACTAGGTTATAAATTTCTGATGGGGCCTTGGAATCATACTGTACTTAGCATATTAATAACCTGAAGGTGACTGTCAGCATTTATTTATTTTAATAGGAAGGACTATGGATAATACCTTCTGTTGCTGTCTGTACCTTTGGGAAGCAGACCAAAATTTAAACTTGTTTTGAATTAGATACTTTGTGCCTTTTTCCTGGTGACTCAGAACCATATTAGCGCTTATATACCAGTATCCTGCACCTGTAGCACACATACATCATTGTTCATGGCTCTGGAACTTACCAAAGAATAATTTTATTAGAGAATATTTTTCATAAGAGTGAAAAACATTAAATTGTACAGTTATATTTGCAAATTGTTTTATTCTGATTTCAGTGCACTTTATGATATTCTCAACATAAGACGAGCTTATTATATTGCCACTACTAAGTCAAATTAGACTTTTATATCAACAGGTACTCTCTCAAAGAAGCAAAAATAATCATGATTTGCTTTGTGAATTGAGAGCCATTTGCTTTCACATACTCTTTAAGGGTAAATTCCTCATCAATCTGTTACTTTCTATCATTTTATCTAGACTGCCTTCACAGTGAGTATTAACAAGATCCAAATGTATGAAGGAAATGTTTTAAATTAAAAGCAATCCAAGATTTCTTAAACAAATATAGCACATACCTTGTTAGTGGTTTTTCAGGGATTTTTCTTTTTTTCATCTTTTACCCTAAGCTGCCACCTGATGGCCAAAAATTAAAATGACATGTTTTTACATAATATTCAAACCTCCAGGGGCCGGTGTTGGTTAGTGGGTAAAGCCACTGGCTGTGACAGTAGCATCCCATATGGGCGCTGATTTCTTCGCAGCTGCTCCATTTCTCATCCAGCTCCCTGCTAATGGCCTGGGGAAAGCAGTGGAAGATGCCCAAGTCCTTGGGACCTACCACGTGGGAGACCCAGAAGAACTCCTGGCTCCTGACCTTAGCCTGGCTAAGCACTGGCCACTGTGATCATCTGGGGAGTGAACCAGCAGATGGAAACTCGCTCTCTCCCTCTCTGTCTCTCTCTCCCTCTTTGTAACTCTTACTTTCAAAATAAATAAATAAAACTTTTAAAAAAAGAGAAAAAAAGGACATACATTGTGGCATAGCAGGTAAAGCTGCTGCCTGTGACACCAGCATCCCATATGGGCACTGGTTCAAGTCCCGGCCTTTCCACTTCCAATCCAGCTGCCTGCTAATGGCCTGGGAAAAGCAGCGGAAGATGACTCGTGTTTGGACCCCTGCCACCCTTGTGGAATACCCAGATGAAGTGCCTGACTCAGTCCTGGTCATTGGGACCATCTGGGGAGTGAACCAGCATGTCAAAGATCTCTCTCTCTCTCTCTCTCTAACTCTGACTTTCAGATAAATAAATCAATCTTTAAAAAAACAAACAAAACTTGGGACCTGTGCTTTCACATAGTGGGTAAAGCCACTGCCTACAGTACTGGCATCCCATATGAGCACTGGTTTGAGTCCCGGTTGCTCCACTACCAATCCAGCCCTCTGCTATGGCCTAGGGAAGCAGTAGAAGATGGCCCAAGTCCTTGGGCCCCAGCACTCTCGTGGCACACCTAGAAGAAGTGCCTGGCTCATGGCTTTGGGTCAGCCCACATCTGGCCACTGCAGCCATTTGAGGAGTGAACCGGTGGATGGAAGACCTCTTTCTCTCTCTCTCTCTGCTTCTTTATAACTCTGTTTTTCAAATAAATAAATACATCTTAAAAAAAAAAGTAAAACTATCACAATTATTTGAACTTTTATGTATTTAGAGTGAAGACTCCAAAACTCCAAATGCACATTTGTACAAATATTTTGTACTCAACAAATATTTGAGGATCAGTTTGGACTTTGGGGAATCATCTTTATTATTTAACCTTTTTAGACAGTGATCCTTTAAAAATGTCTTTAAAGATCCTCTTTCTCTATGCAGCTCTGAGAAGAGTCTGTTTTTCAATTAGTTTTATTTGATGAAGAATTTTACTTAAGTCTAATAATTGCCTCTTTTCCCTTTTCTTTCTTCAGAACGAGGTCACTCAGACACCATGGTGTTCTTCTACCTGTGGATTGTCTTTTGTATCATCAGTTCCTGCTATACCCTCATCTGGGATCTGAAGATGGACTGGGGTCTCTTTGATAAGAATGCTGGAGAAAACACTTTTCTCCGGGAGGAGATTGTGTACCCCCAAAAAGTATGTGCAAGGAATGTTTGTGTTTGATTAAAGTTACTTGTATCACTGACTAAATCTTACTGCAATACAGATTCAACCTCTACTTATATTAACCCAATATAAATAGAACACTAATTACCCAAAGTACTAATTTGTTCAGTCAACAAAAATGTATTAGGTATTTACTATATGTTAGGCTTTACAGGAGATAAAAAAAAAAGTCCCAGGGAGACCTTAAACTATAATCTAAATAGATAATTTAAATAAATTACTACACAGTGTTATAAACAACCCAACAGAAAAATAACAGTGATTTATTTTTGAGCATGGCATTCCCTCCTTTGTGTAAACGCCTGTTTCTCCAGTTTGTGGTACTCTCCCTAAGAAGCCTTGATTTTTCCTGTCATGCTTGGCCATTAGTCCCTATCCTTTTTTACCCTACATAAACTCTGCAGTCATTACGTTATTTTGTAATTATCTGTTCAGATGTCCATATCTATCACTGTCCGTCGTAGTTCCTGATATGTAGTACACTTAATGAAATGAATGACTAAATATTTTGGCTGAATGAGCAGTATTATGAATTCACAGAAGTAAGGAAGTGCCTGACTCAAGCTGGGTGCATCAGAAAGCCTTCCACTTTGATTTATTTCAACCAGTGTTATAATCAAATGCCAATTCAATGAGAAAATGTAGATACTTATTCAGAAATTATTTTAAGGATTTTGTATACATGAATAAAAAAGTGAGAGGCCAAGTTAAAAAGTCAAAAGACCAAAAGTATCTTTACACAAATGTTTTAGTTAAGGATGAATGCCCTGATTAGACCTTAAAGGAAATTGAACAACAGACTGAGAATCCTGATATGTGAATTCTGATTCTAGCTCTCCCTCTAACTAGCCATTTAGCTTTAGGCACTCATACTACAGTGAATTCTCTTTTATAAGGTAAGGGTGTTAGATTAGATTATCTTCCAATTTTTTTTCTCAGTTCTAAAATTCTATGATAAGGAAGGAAGATATAGATTGGATAAATCATATTTTACAGTTTCTCAAAATACTGCAAATCCTTAAAAATATATTTGGTAAAGTGTGAGAATATTGCTGAGTAGGAGAGGCTATTTGCAAGTGTGAGCACTGAAGACAGAGGAGAGTGCTGACTGATACGTAGAGTCACTTCAGGTAAGCAAATGAAGAGGGAGATGGGGGCACTCCTTGTTAATGATCTTTTACTTACATTATGTAATAATCCCAGTGTGAACACTTAGACTATATGACCAAGACAGTACACATTTTTATGAAGCCCATTTGAGAAGAAAATCAGTCATTGGAGATAGTGGTCACAGGTGAGATGAAGCAGGCCCTTTGTGCTTACCAGACTGTGTGCCGTCCAGCTGCTCGTGTTGCTCTTGTCTCAGTGAGAGCTGGGACACACGCTTCCTGCACGGGGACTGCACGGAGGAACCGTGTGTAGCTTTACAGAAATGCTGATCCATTCCCCCTTTTAAGCAGTTCTAACTTACTGGCTTCTATGTAATCAAATTAATGAATAGAAGCTTTAACCAGTCTCTTTGTTATTACATACTTTTATGACCCTACAATATAAAGTATATGTTTTCCCACATTATAATTTGCAATTTTTTTTTTTTTTTGACAGGCAGAGTGGACAGTGAGAGAGAGAGACAGAGAGAAAGGTCTTCCTTTGCCGTTGGTTCACCCTCCAATGGCCGCCGCAGCCGGCGCGCTGCGGCCAGCGCAGCGCGCTGATCCGATGGCAGGAGCCAGGAGCCAGGTGCTTCTCCTGGTCTCCCATGGGGTGCAGGGCCCAAGCACCTGGGCCATCCTCCACTGCACTCCCTGGCCACAGCAGAGAGCTGGCCTGGAAGAGGGGCAACCGGGACAGAGTCCGGCGCCCCGACTGGACTAGAACCTGGTGTGCCGGCGCCGCAAGGCAGAGGATTAGCCTAGTGAGCCGCAGCGGCGGCCAATTTGCAAATTTATAAGAAGAATTTTCTGGATCACCACACCTCTTTTCATTGTTTTATTTTTTGAAAGGCAGAGTGACAGAGAGGAGAGCGAGAGATGGTTGTAATAGCCGGAACTGGGCCAGGCTGAAGCTAGGAGCCGGTAACCCCATCTGTTTCTCCCATGTGGGTGTCAGGAACCCAAGTACTTGGGCCATCTTCAGCTGTCTTCCCAGGGGCATTAGCAGGAAGCTGGATCTGAAGTAGAGCAGCCGGGACTCAGACTGGTACTCTGATACAGGATGCTGACATCATAAGCACCTGTTGCACCACAACCTTGGCCTTCTTTTTACTTTATTTTATTATTTTTTAAAGATTTATTTATTTATTTGAAAGGCAGAGTTACAGAGAGAAAGAGAAATCTTCCATCCACTGGTTTGCTCCCCAAATGGCTACAAAGGTGGGGCTGGGCCAGGCAAGCCATGAGCCTGGAACTCCATCCAGGTATCTGGTGTGAGTGGCAAGGGCCCAGGCGCTTGGGCCGTCTTCCACTGCTTTGCTCAGGTGCATTAGCAGGGAGCTGGGTCCGAAGTGGAGCAGCCAGGGCTAGAACTGGCACCCATAGGGGATCCTGGCATCACAGACAAAGAGGCTTTACCTACTGTGCCACAGTGCCAGCTCCCTTTTATTTTAAAAAGGCAAATATTGGAATAAGATTCATTTAAGCTTGAAAAGTATTCCTGAAATCCAGTGGACCTTCATTAAAAATTAAGAACACATTAGGCCGGCACCATGGCTCAATAGGCTAATCCTCTGCCTGCAGCACTGGCACCCTGGGTTCTAGTCCTGGTCGGGGCGCTGGATTCTGTCCCGGTTGCTCCTCTTCCAGGCCAGCTCTCTGCTGTGGCCCGGGAGTGCAGTGGAGGATGGCCCAAGTGCTTGGGCCCTGCACCCGCATGGGAGACCAGGAGAAGCACCTGGCTCCTGGCTTCAGATCATCGCAGTGCGCTGCCGCAGCAGCCATTGGAGGGTGAACCAACGGTAAAGTAAGACCTTTCTGTCTCTCTCTCTCTCACTGTCCACTCTGCCTGTCAAAAAAAAAAAAAAAAAAAAAAAAGGAACACATTGGGTGGGCATTTGGTGCACTGGTAGGATACTTAACATCCTCCATTGGAGTGCCCAGGCTCAAGTCCTAGCTCTGCTCCCGTTTCCAACTTCCTGCTAATGTGCACCCAAGGAGGCAGCAGGTGATAGCCAAGTAGTTTGGTCTCTGCCACTCAGAGGGGAAACCCAGGTGGAGTTCCAGACTCCTGGCTTCATGCTGGCCCAGCCTCAGTTGGTGCTGGTATTTGAGGACAGAACCAGCAGAAGCTGTCTCTTCTCTTTGTCTTAACACCTTTTGAATAAATAAAAATTAAGAGCACAGCCATATAAACCTTAAAATCAGTTACTGGGGGCCGATGTTGTGGAACAATGAGTTAAGCCACTGCCTGCAACACTGGAATTCTCTATGTGAATCACAGCTGCTCCATTTCTGATCCAGCTTCCCGCTATTGTGCCTAGGAAAGCAGTGAAAGATGGCCCAAGTGGTTGGACCCCTGCCACTCATGTGAGAGACCCAGATGTAATTCCAGGCTCCTGGCTTTAGCCTGGCCCAGTCCCACTTGTGTTGTAGCCATTAATAAAATCTTTTTTAAAAAGAAAAAAAGCAACAACAACAGTTCTTAGTGACTAAATATGCATAATTTTGAGCAGGACATTCCAGGTGTAGGAACCATTTTTATTATCTCCATATTCAAACTTCACTTTTCTATATCAATTCCCACATCTGTCAACCACAGACTACTTTTTTTATGATTTATTTATGTATTTGAAAGAGTTAGAGATCTACTGGGTCACTCCCAAATATTTGGCCACAATGTCCCAGGCTAGGCCAGGCCAAAGCCAGGAGCCAGGAACTTCATCCAGATCTCTCCTGTCAGTAAAGGGGCCCAAGCATCTGGGCTATCCTCCATGGCCATCCCAGCCATTAGTAGAGAGTTGGACTGGAAGCGGAAGAGCCAGAACTCAAAGTGGCGCCCATCTAGGATGCCGACATCAGAGGCAGAGGCTTTACTCACTGTTCCACAGCACCAGCCCCTAGACTGACTGTTAAAAGCATGTTTAGGCCTAATAATAAGTACATTGAGTGTGGATTTATGAAAAAATTGCATTATCATCATATTAGGAGGATGCAGACCGGAACAGGAAGATTGATCAATGTCTTAAAACCCTCTTAGTAACCCTAATAAAATATATTATAATCAGAAGTCAATAGATAATGTTTAAAATTGACTACAAGATAGAGTAGCATGCATATCTTATTTAAAAATAGAGGATAAAAAGCAGAAGAAATACAGTGAAATTTTTTGTCTCTTAGGAATAAAAGAGAAAGTAGTAAAGGGGCTACTTTATAAAAAATTAATAGCCCTCTAACGGTGATTAGTACTGCTTTGTTAAATTAGTTTAAATAAAACCAGTGTTATGGCTTAATACACAAATATTCTGGTTCCAAAAAGATATCACAAACTTTAAATACATATATTTAGAAAGCTGATTTCCTAGAGGTTAGACAAACAAAACCATGCATTGCAGTTCTGGTCTGCTGGCAGCTTATGTACTTCAAGCTTGCAATAGCTAAAACTCAACTCCTAAATTGTCTGTACTCTTACCTGGAGGTATGAGTTGAGCACCGCCTTCCGCTAGCGAAAATAGAACATTCCTCAGTTCAACCGTGTGCGATAGCCACACTTTATTTCATTCACTGATGTCAGGAAGCAAGGCAAGAAGCAGGTGTTCTGGCACAGCACGTTAAGGCCCTTCCTGGGACACTGCATCCTGTATCAGAGGGCCTGGGATGGAGTCCTGCCTCTGCTTCCAGTCCAGCTCTGTGCAAATGCTCTTGGGAGGCAGCCACTGATGACCCAAGGTCTTGGGTTCTTGCCCCGCACTTGGAAGACTTGAATAGACTTCCAGACTCCTAGCTTAGCCTGGTCCAGCCCTGGTTGCTGTGGGCATTCCAGGAATGAACCAGCAGATAGAAGAACCCTCTTTCTGTCTTTCTACCTTTCAGATGAAATAAATAAATAAGTGCAAATAGCACAGTTAATAAATCTGCTTATCTTTTCTTTTTTTTTTAAAAAGATTTATTTATTTTTTACTTGAGAGTCAGAGTTACACAAAGAGAGAAGAGGCAGAGAGAGAGAGAGGTCTTCCATCCGATGGTTCACTCCCCAGTTGGTCTGCTTATCTTTTCTAATGTTAGCTCTTTAGTCATTAGCTATCATATACCTGTTAGAATATGTTTCAGTCCGTGATCCCATCTGGCTCATAATTTCTGGGGCCTAGAGGAGAGCCTCATATTAAAATAAGGGAATGAAGTGTATTTGTTAAAGATCACTCAAATTCAGTAACACTTCATTTTGAATATTGTACCATTTCAGAAAAAATGAAATTGGTGCAAATATTTTTTAAATAAGATTTATTTATTTATTTGAAAGAGTTACACAGAAAGAGAAAGAGAGGCAGAGAGAGAGAGAAATCTTCCATCTGCTGGCTCACTCCCCAGATGGCCATAACGGCCAGAGCTGCACCAATCCGAAGTGAGGAGCCAGGAGCTTCTGCCGGGTCACCCACGTGGGTGCAGGGGCCCAAGGACTTGAGCCATCTTCTCTGCTTTCCCAGGCCATAGCAGAGAGCTGGAATGGAAGTGGACGTGGGCCCAGCACCCATATGGGATGCTGGCACTGTAGGCGGCGGCTTTACCACAGTACCAGCCCTGGAAATATTCTTAAAATATAGTTATGTACTCCCCCAAATGAAATGTGTATCTTTTTCCTCTTGAACCTATGCTTATTGGTGAGAAATTTGTGAATCCTGGTGATAGAAGCACTTATTTTTGAGAAGTGTGGTCAGGAGCCTACTGAATCTGTTTGTCATTCCTCAGGCCTACTACTACTGTGCCATCATAGAGGATGTGATACTGCGCTTTGCCTGGACCATCCAGATCTCCATCACCTCCACAACTCTGTTGCCTCATTCTGGAGACATCATTGCCACTGTCTTTGCACCCCTTGAGGTTTTCCGGTGAGCAAATTGCTGAAAAGTTTATCAAAGATTCTTCTTACCTGAATGATGCCATAGTACTTACAGATTAGTTTATGATAACACACAAGGGTAATTACAAATGTGGAAAAGTGGAATTAAAAAATACGTGTATATTGTTACACAAAATTTTTGGAATCTATATATAGTTTTTTCATAATACATATTCAACATTTTGAAGACCCTCCATATGCATAGATTTCTTTTTCTTTAAAAAAAAAAGATGTATTTTTTATTAATTTGAAAGAGAGAGGCAGAGACACAGAGAGAGATTGATCTTCCATATGCTGGTTCACTCCCCAAATGGCTCAAAGGCAAGGGCTAGGCCAGACTGAAGCCAGGAGCAAGGAGCTTCTTCCAAGTCTCCCACATGGAGCAGGGGGCCCAAGCAGTTGAGCCATCTTCTACTGCTTTCCCAGGAGCATTAGCATAGAGCTGGATTGGAAGTGGAGCAGCAGGGACTTGAGTTGGTGTCCATACGGCATACTGGCATTGTAGCCATTGGCTTTACAAGCGACACCACAATGCCGGCCCCAGAACTCTTAACCAGAATTCTTGGAAGGTTAAAAAGGAATATTCTGCTCAGTTACTTGGAGTGTTGGATTGGGCTGCAGCAAGAACCATGGCTGAGGGGAATGGAGATACAAGGAGGCATCTGTGGAGCATATTTCAAAATTATTTTTGGCTCCTGGCTTCGGATCGGCACAGTACCTGCCGTTGCGGCCATTTGGGGAGTGAACCAACGGAAGGAAGACTTTTCTCTCTGTCTCTCTCTCACTGTTTGTAACTCTACCTGTTGAATAAATAAATAAAAATATTTAAAAAAAATTATTTTGCACCAAAATACCCTGATCTTTAATGCCATTTTCCACAAGCCTTTTAAAATACCTTCATACTTGCAACGCTTAGATTTTCCAGCTTTTCCCAAATTTCTGTCAGTCCCAGAGATGGAACATCCTACTTGAGGGACTGAGAGGTTATTTCTTACAAAGTACAACGGGGACTGGCATTGTGGTACAGTGGAAGCTGGGCTGAGTCCTGGCTGCTCTGCTTCTGAAACCTCTCCCTGCTGATGCGCCAGGGAAGACAGTGGGAGATAGGCGACGCACTTGGGTCCCTGCCACCCAAATGGGAGACCCAGATGGAGTTCCTGGCTCCTGGTTTCCGTCTGGTCCATCTCCAGCCATTGTGGCCTTTTGAGGGATAAACCAGCAGAGGGTAGAGTTCTCGCTTTCTTTTCTCCTTCCCTCCCTCCCTCCTTCTCTATAATTCTGCCTTTCAAATAAATAAATCTTTTTTAAAAACCAACAAAGTTAAAATAGCTATTGATGGTGATTTATATGCTTTTTTAGAATTGGGCTCCATTGGAAAGGTGGTAAGTAAACATTGGGAGGTAAAAAAGCTTAATTTAGAACAGAAATTAAAATCTCTTGAAAATCAGTTTTTACAGTTTGGTAGTCCGAATTATTCAGCCCAGTGAAGCCAACAAAAATGCTGATAAAGTGGTTTCAGAATTCTCAGAGCATCAAGCATCTGACAGGGTAGCCCCTTTGCCTTCATGACTTGAAAACAGTCAAGATCGGTCCTCCTGGCTCTCCTTTCTCTGGCTTCAGTCTCCTTGGCCCACTTTGTATTGATGCCTGCCTTCTTTCAGGCGCTCTGGATATATTTCTGGGAGGGCACTGTGTGGAAACTTGAGAATAAAGTCAGTCAGCGGCATGCATTTGAAAGGCGTGACCTATCTTCTCTGAGTGCAGGGACCATCAATCAAAACCCTGTTCTGATCAACGACGTGTACAATCATGCCAGCCTGCCGGCATGAGGCCCACTTGGCCAAGCTCCTCAAAGCTCCTGAACACTACTATGTCTCTGAGTTAGGCCAGAAGCTGAATTTGCAATTGTAATGGAAGATTTTGTTGGTGTTGTGGAGCAGCAGGTAAAGCCACCACTTGACACTGGCATCCCATATTGGAGTGCTGGTTCAAGTCCTGGCTGCTGTTTCCTATCCAAGTCTCTGCTACTCTCCCTGGGAAAGCAATGGAAGATTACCCAAGTGCTTGGGTCCTGCCACCATGTGGGAGACCCTGATGGAGTTCCTGGCTTTTGCCTGGTCCAGCCCTGGCTGTTGTGGCCTTTTGGGAATTGAAGCAGCAGTTGGGAGATCATTCTGTTTGTGTCTCTGCCTGTCTCTCTGTCACTCTGTTTTTCAAATAACAAATACATTTTTTTAAGTGTATAACTCAGTAAGTTAGAAAAAAATCTAAAAACTGTAAATCAAACCCAAAGCAAAGTGGGAGGAAGGAAATACAAAAACAGAAACTAAAGAAATAGAAAACAAAGTTAGAAAATATTAACAAAGCCAAAGTTAATTTTTTAAAAAGACTAATATTACTGATAAAATGCTTGGTTGTGGGGGGTGGCACTGTGGTACAGTCGGTTAAATGTCCACCTGCAGTGCCAGCATCCCATCTGGGCACTGGTTCATGTCCTGGCTGTTGCTCTTCCAATCTAGCTAGCTGTTTATGGCCTGCGAAAGCAGTGGAACATGGCCCAAGGGCTTGGACCCCTGCACCTGCATGGGAGACCCGGATGAAGCTCCTGGCTCCTGGCTTCAGATCGGCCCAGCTCCTGCCTTTGGGCCATTTGAGGAGTGGACCAGCAGAGGGAAGACCTCACTCTCTGTCTCTCCTTCTCTCTATCTGTAACTCTGCCTGTCAAATAAATAAATAAAGCTTAAAAATATAAATAGATTTTTAAAGTGCTTGGTTAGACTGATCAAACTAAAAAGGAAAGAAGGCACAAATTACAAATATCAGAAATCCTAGAGATTTTTTTAAGAAATAAGACAATGAGTCTTATGTTCAACGTTATGCCAGTAAATTTAAAAATCTCAATAAAATGAAAAAACTATAAAAAGCACAGCTTACCGAAACCTGTAATGAAGAAATAGAAAATCTGATAAGCTTCTGTTAAAATAATTAAATCCATATTAAAATACTTCCCACAAAGAACATTCTAGGTCCAGGGAATTCTTCCAAATTTTCAAGGAAAGAATATTATCAATTTTATATAAAATTTCTAAAGAGAAAGGACAAAAGGACAATAAAGAGAGTGCTTCCTAGTTTGTTTTATGCAACCAGCATGACTGTGATTTCTGAATCTACAAAGATGCCAGAAATCATCAAGCTGTTTCATGTATAGAGTTGCAAAAATCCTGAGCAAAATATTAGCTGATTAGTCCAACAGTATATAAAAAGGGTAATATATCACAAATCAGGTTCATTTTAGAAACGATAAGGTTAACATCCAAAAATCAGTATGTATAACTTAACCACATTAACTGAATAAAAGGGAAACAGGGAAGTATAATATATGTAGAAAAGATAATTGCTAACAGTATCTGCTCCTGAGAAAAATAGGTATTTTCTGTAAAAAAAGCAAACAAACATAATCTTGATCGTATTCAGCAGTTAAATACTGTAAGTTTTCCCTCAAGGTCATCCATGAGACAAGGATGAGCTCTGTTACCACGGCTGTTTTACATCGTACTGCAAGTGTGGTTCGTGAAATAAGGAAAGTTCATAGAAGAATTCATAGAAGATGCATTTTGTGTAAAAACTTTTTGTGGATTTCCAAAAATTTTTGCAACACAATAAATACATTTTAATTCCATTTTCTATGAACTTGAACTTTTTGAAGTAAGACGTTATGGAAGTAGGCGTTGTGGTCCAGGGGGTAAGCTGCTGCTGTGACAATGGCATCTCTATCGTGGTGCTGATACTGGTTTTGTCCAGGCTGTTCCACTTCCAATCTAGCTTCCTGCTAATGCACCTGGAAAGGCAGTGGAAGATGGCCCAACTGCCTGAGCCCCTGGCACCCTTGTAGGCAGTCAGGATGGAGTTCCTGGCTCCTGGCTTCCGCCTCTGCTAGATAGACCTGGCCACTGCAACCATTTGGGGAATGAACCAGCAGATTGAAAATGTCTCTCCTCTCTCTCTCTCACTCTGCCTCTCAAAGAAGTAAATTTTAAAAAATGATAATATAAGGCTAGACAAATAGTCCACTGGAACAGATGAAGAAGTCTAGAAACAGATCCAGATATATATTTATGTCAAAGATAATTATGTAACAGTGGAGGAATAGAGATGTTTTATTTGTTTATTTTAAAGATTTTATTTATTTATTTGAGAAGTAAAGTTACAGACAGAGGGAGAGACAGAAAGGTTTTCCATCCACTGGTTCACTCCCCAGATGCCCACAATGGCTGGAGCTGAGCCAATCTGAAGCCAGGAGCCAGGAGCTTCCTCCAGATACAGGGACCCAAACACTTGGGCCATCTTCCACTGCTTTCCCAGGCCACAGCAGAGAGCTGGATTGGAAGAGAAGCAGCCAGGACTCGAACTAGTGCCCATATGGAATGCCAATGCCACAGGCAGTGTCCTAGGCCACCATGTCACAGTGCCAGCCCTAGAGGCATTTTAATAGATGAGTCAACTGTGTATCCATATAGAGAAGAAAAATGAATCCTACCTTTAATGTATGTGAACCTGTTTTTAGATGGATGGCAGAGCTAAATATGAAAGGCCAATTAATAAACTCTCCAGAAGTGAACATTAGAGTCGGTCCTAAAGGTGACTACAGGACGTGATGATGGGCTTTGTATCTCTGGATGATAATTACACAGTGTGATCAGTTTCTGACAACTAAACTGTACACTTAGGATTCGCATGCTTTTCTACATTTAATGCCATTCTTCAATTAAAATGTTTATTTAAAATACAAAGGATTGCCTTCAGAAAAGTGGCAGACTGACAGCTGACTTCTCAGCGCCAGCAATTAAAGTGAGAATTCATTCAAATGAAGTCTTCAGAGAAACTAGCTGCCTACCTGGAACTCTACCCAGGGAAAATCTCTCTCACAGATGAGACGATACAAGGATATTTTCAGATAGGTACACAGCATTCCTCTGAGTGAGGATGAACAAACACTTCCCAGTCCAATAACACAGCCGCTGGAAACAGCAAGGTAGACCTGAAAGATAGAGTGATCAGAAATGTCTCCAGACCATCTGGTCAGCTCACTTACTCTGCCTGACTCTGGCACCATCCCTGCACCACCTCCCCCCAGCCAGTTCTCTCTCTTTCCTATGTGCTGCTTCATAAACTTAGAAAAGAAAAAAATTCTAGTTAAAAATTCCATTCTTTTTTACTCATACTGTTTCTAAAAAAAATTCATTTGCTTAATAATAGAATCCAAGTTCTCTCACCCATTTTTTAAGATCTCCTTGACTCTACTGTCCCCTTGCAATGATTGCGCTTCTTTCTGCTGTCTCTTATAGATCTTCTATCCACTGGTTCGTTCCCCAAATGGGGCAACAGCTGGTGCTGGGCCGATTCAAAGCCAGGAGATTCTTCCATGTCTCCCACGCGGGTGCAGGGGCCCAAGCAATAGGGGCCATCTTCTACTGCTTTCCCAGGCCATAGCAGAGAGCTGGATCGGACGTGGAGCAGCTGGGTCTCAAATTGGAACCCATATGGGATGTGAACATTGCTTAACCTGCAATGCCACAGCGCTGCCCCACCCCCCATTCTCTTTAATGCAACTGAAAGTTTTGCTAATTATCTGTAATAATAATAGCAATAGCAGAAAACACTGTATCTAGGACTGTCCTAAGCTCCTTACACTTATTTATGAATCCACACAGTCATCTTGAGATAGGTACTGTTATTATGCCTTTGACTGATGACTGAAGCACAGCCTGAGTAACTCATCCAAGGCCATTGCAGCTAGTAAGAGGTGGGGCCATGATCTGAGATTATATTGCCTTAGATTATGTGCTTGTAGACCCTGTTGCCTCTCTGCTATGCTAAATCTCATGCTCAGTTCTCTGTACTTCTCCCCAGGCGTTTGCTTTACATTGTTTGTCTCATGTACTAGTCTCCCTCAATCCCTTTACTGGTCCTTCTTTTCTTAGCAGACTGTGAGTTTTGGGGTCTTCCAGGGTTTACTCCTTAGTCTCTGATCCCTCCTCCAGTTACAGTGATCCTAAACGGTGATTTGAAATACTGTCTTTAGCCATTTCCAACCCTGCACCCTTGCACTGCAGACTCATGTGTTCCTGTTTACTGAATTCTCCGCGGAATGTCTGACAAGTAGCTCCATCCACAGAAACCACGCTGTCCTCTGATCTTGGGTCACAGCATCATCGTCCCCAAGACCAGCCACTCTGGAGACTGCTCGGTCCCTCGTCCTGATGTGCCTCATAGTGTCTGCCATCGCCCACTGCTTTGCTGTCTCTGCCGCCAGAACTTGGGCTTTATCTGCTTTCTCCATTGCATTTCCTCCTTACAGTAGACATTCAGTAAATATGTGTTGAACAGAGTGGGAGAATGAGCCTTCAAACACTGCATTCAGGAGTCCTTTCTCGTTTGCTTCCCCACCAACCCCTACACCGCTTTCCCCTGATTTATTTTAATAACCTAGCCTTTAATTCCTCATTTTTGTTTCCATGAGTGGACACTTGGTATTTGGGTAGGTTATAGGTAGTAATGTTATGTCCAGATTTTACAAGTAATCTGTGTGCTGTGCCCCATCTTGCTCAGGCGTTTTGTGTGGAATTTCTTTCGCCTGGAGAACGAACATCTGAATAACTGTGGTGAGTTCCGTGCTGTGCGGGACATCTCTGTGGCCCCTCTGAATGCAGACGATCAGACGCTCCTGGAGCAGATGATGGACCAGGAAGATGGGGTACGGAACCGGCAGAAGAACCGGTCATGGAAGTACAACCAGAGCATATCCCTGCGCCGGCCTCGCCTCGCCTCTCAGTACGTACGGCTTCCGCTTCGTTAGGGCGTATGTCCTTTGGGCTTTAGCATCGTGTAACATTTATCCTAGGAAGCTTATCAAGTTAGACCAAATAAACTGCTGATATTCAACTATTTTCCAGCTATAGAAAGTAATAGTAAACTGTAATTTCATATGGATCCAACCTAGAGAATATCTTTTTTTTCTTAAATCTGAACATTTAGTGAGTATGGATAATGGAAGGGCAAATAATGACTCCAGTTACATGAGGAATTTTAAAATAGTGAAACTCCTAGAATCAGGGAGCAGACTGGTGGTTATTACACACTGAAGGGAGGGGAAGTGAGGATGAGATGACAGGCAAGCATTAAGTTCCAACTAGGAGTGACAGGTTGTGGAGATGTGCTTCCATCATTGTGTCTACACTGGACAGTATCATACTGTTCACTTAAAATTTTGTTCTGAGAGTAGACAGCATTTTAAATGTTCCTGCTTGGGGCTGGCACTGTGGCACAGCAAGTCAAGCTGCCATCTGCAGTACTGCATCCCACATGTGCCCCAGCTCGATTCCCGGTTGCTCCACTTCTGCTCCAGCTCCCCACTAATGCACCTGGGAAAGTGGTCAAAAGATGGCCCAATTTCTTGGGACCCTGCACCCATGGGAGAGACCCAGACAAAATTCCTGGCTCCCTGGTTCAGCCTGACCCAGTCCCGGACGTTGCAGAATTTGGAACCAGTGGATGGTTCAGAAAACAAATAAAAATAAATGTTTTTGCCTGAATAAAATTTTTAAATGGGTATATTTCTGATCTTGGTACTAGTCTTGCAAGAATATCTTAATGAGTACATAAAATAAATGTCATTAATACATACTTACTAATTTGGCATTGTAGGTACAATGGGAAAAAGTCTTGTTGGAGAATTGTTTCCTTGAGTCTTCAGTATATTTTATATGCAGATAATTCTAAATTTATAAGCTTTAGAAATCGGTATAACCATCTATATAACCTTGTAACCTCATAGCCTTATATAATCTTATAACTTGCATATGACTTTATAATCATCCATATAACCTTTACCAGATTACTTAATTTCTGTATTTTATCCCTTATCTGTGAATTGGAATTAAATTTTTATTTATTTATTTTTGCCCAGCAGAGTTAGTGAGAGAGAGAGAAAGAGAGAGACAGAGTGAGTGAGTTAGACAGTAAGGGAGAGACAGAGAGAAAAGTCGTCTTTGCGTAGGTTCACCCCCCTAATGGCCGCTACGGCTGGCGCTGCGCCGATCTGAAGCCAGGAGCTGGGTACTTCCTCCTGGTCTCCCATGCGGGTGCAGGGCCCAAGGACCTGGGCCATCCTCCACTGCCCTCCTGGGCCACAGCAGAGAGCTGGACTGGAAGAGGAGCAACCGGGACTAGTACCTGACGCCCCAACTGGGACTAGAACCCGGGGTGCCAGCGCCACAGGCGGAGGATTAGCCAATTGAGCCGCGGTGCCGGCTTGGAATTAATATGGTTCTTACTCATAGGATGGTTAAGTAAATTAAATGCTTATTACATGAGACTTACACTAGTTCTTTCACAGAAAGGGCTTAATAAATATGATGTTATTTCTATCTTTTTACTAAATACCTACAGTGATATTTTAACAGTATTTTTATGTTACTGATTTTGTATGCTTCTAAAAGTATTAATACATGTAGAATATTTCATGGCTGCATTTGAAATTTGAGAACAGTACATTGGAATGAAGGAGACTTAAGTCAAACAAGTTCTCTTAATGATAAGGGAATGTTTGAGTAGACTGGAGACACAATAAAAGACATAAAAGTGGAAAAGAGTGGCAGAAAGAAAAAGAGTTTAGAAATGTAATGACCAAAATTTAGCTGAATAGAGAGAGTCCAGTTATAAAAAGCTGAGACGTGCGAGCTTGATCTTACAGGTAGGAAGGATTCACAGGTATTTCTGTTCATCAAAGAATGACAGCATCAAAGTAGTTTATTAGGAACAGTTAGTGGAACTGTGCAGGATATATTAGGAAAGGGGAACCCAAAGGCCAGAAACCCAAGTGGAAGGCTGTGCAGTGTTTGTCAGTATGTGACAGTGAAGATTCGAAACAAATGCTTAAAAAAAAAAAGAAAAAAAAAACCAGACTAAGCGCAATGTAAGGAGACATTTTAGAGGAAATAAAAAAAACAGGAGAAGGTGACGGTAACTCACAGGATTTAGGGAAATAGGAATAGAATTTGCTGAAGCTTGTCTCCTTCTGAAGAAAGAAACAGAGCAAGGAACTTAGTCCTGGGAAGAGGAAAAAGAGTAAGGAAAGGAGCAAGGGTGGCCTGCAGGCAGTGGGAGGAGCATCAGAACCAAGCATTGCTCTGCTGTGCTGAAGACACGTAGCTTGAGGCTGGTGCCATGAGCGGCTGAAGAGAGGCTGTGTGGGGGCCCTTGTCTCCTTTCACCAGCAGAGGGCAATCTACACACACACTATTTCGGCTTAGAAACAAGGAGGCTTTGGGCAGGAGGGTTTTGTGTTCAGTTTCAGGTGTTTAGTGGAAAAACGCTGGGAGACTAGACTTCCAGCCAGAGGAAGATTTCTGTAATGGAGCATGTCACATACAACAGAGGGAGAAGGTATCTAAAGCAACATCCGACTTTGAGTACCAGCTGTATGACTCGTGCAACCTTTAGTACATCCTTAACCTTTCCAAAAGTCAGGTCAAGTAGGAGTGGCAATTCCTGTTTCACCACATACTACTTCCACTTCATAGTGCACATGAGTAGCAGAATATTTCATCGTGTTGTTGATTTTTATTTATTTTCACCCACCTGAAAGGCAAAGGCAGAGGAGAGATCTTACATCCTCAGGGTCCTTCCCCAGATGCCTGCAGGAGCCAGGGCTGGGCCAGGCCGAAGCCGCGAGCCCAGAACTCCATCTGGGTCTCACCTGCGTGTGGCTGAGGCATCATCTGCCGCCTGCCTCCCAGGTTGTGTTAGCAGGAAACTGGTTTGGAAGCAGGGTGACTGGGACTGGAGCCAGCTCTCTGATAGGGGATGTGGGTGTCTCAGGTGCCCACCCTGCAAAATAGTTGTTACCCAATCCCATTGTTTTGTCCACTACAACATCCTAAATAGATGTGTTATTCTGTGAGACCCCTCCTAAACAGATGTGTCATTCTGTGAGACCCCCAGCTGTATCTCTGCAGAGTTGTGGTGGTAGAGAGCTGACACTGAGCCGAAGCATCCCTCCCTGCCACATCAGCCGCTCTTTGTAGCTGCTTCTCTCGCGGAACCTCCCTGTTCCGTGTGATCCTGTGTCAGTGACTGGAAGACAAGCAAGGCATGCCTCTCCTCAGGTCATACTTTCTGCTGGCCAATTCTCCTAGTTTTAGTAGGAGAAACAGTATTTCTTCCCTCTCCATGACAATTTCTTTTATTTCTTTGGTATGTTGTTGATGCTTTTTATATCCGTTTTCTCACTTGGTATGCAGACCATCTCCATGAGGTGCAATGGTACTAAGTGAAATAGAGCGCTCGCTTCGGCAGCACATTTACTAAATTCAGTGAAATGGATGTTGGGGGCACTGCTTTGCAGAGGTGGAAATGGGTGCTTGCAGGGAAAAGAGATGCCCATAAAGTCAGTCAGTGCTCAGGCTCAGGTCTCTCCTTTCTGCAGGACCTGGCCCTGCTCCGAGCTTGTTTTGTTTGTTTACTTTCCTCTGGCTGCATGCTGCTTTGCTAGTATTTTTCCAGTGTCACCTGAAATCGAGTATACAACGCCAGGAGTAGTCCAGTTTAGGACATGTGCTTAACAGTGGTAAGATCAGAAATGCACCTAGTGCCATGCATGTGCTTGTCTTAGTAATGTGCTTTCTCCCCGTTATCGCCAGATCCAAGGCTCGCGACACGAAGGTATTGATAGAAGACACAGACGACGAAGCTAACACTTGACTTCTCCGACGTCTAGACTAACATTCTGGGTTTTCCTACTCGACACTTCTTTCCTCGACCAACGCAACCTCTACTACCTTCCCAGCTGAAAACCGGAGAAATCGCCTCACACACTTCCGAGCTCTCCCAGATCGGATCCTGTGGACTCCAAACAGGCTCACTGTGTTTCTTTTCTTTTCTTCTGGTTTAATTTTAATTTTCTATTTTTAAAACAAATACTTCATTTTGCCAATCAGAGGACATTTTAAGGAACAAAAACAGTCTCTCATGGATTGTTTACAATCACAAGGACACAGATACCGACCACGATGAAGATCAGGCACTGCAAGGACCCTCTGATGGGATGGTACCGAGATGTCTCGGCTTCTGCTTGGTCCGGTTTTGACTGGTTGAAACCGGACATTGGTTTTTTAAATTTTTGTCAGTTTCTGTGGAGAATTATTTCCTTTCCTTCATACCCAGCGCAAAGGCACTGGCTGCACTTGCAGGAAAAGAGCAGCTTAGAGCAGTGCCTTCATTCACGAAGCTACTTTTTCATTTGATGTAACTTTTCTTATTTTGGGGAGGGGTGCTGGGTGGGTGGGAAATATGATGTATTTGTTACGTACAGTTCTCTCATTATTTATAAACTTGACCGTAAGAGAATGCTGTCACTGCAGTGAAGACGATGGCAGAGGAAACGGGGACTGATGCTGGATGACATCGCTGGGGTCAGCCCGCGCACCGCTCTCAGGAGACAGTTTGCACCGGTTTCACGTGTTGAGCGCTTTTATTTTAAGCCAAAGTTTCATTATTCACTTTTTAGTTGTTGCTACTTTAGAGTCCTGAGCATCTTTCATGACTGAGCATCCCACACTTACCCACACCGCCAACTGAGATTTATAAGAGGTTCTGACACAGATGTGCAATACATTTGCCCATATTACAACTGTAACAACAGAAGTTATAAATTCACTGGGGAATTAGAGTGTAATCTTTACTAACTCCGAATTAGAAACTAGCTACTTTAGAGACTCTCCACACCCCCAGTTGGTCAGTCTTTCTTCTGTGTTCAACCACGTAAAGCCAGAATTTGATCAAATTAAGTCTGTTGTGGGGAAGTTGGGTTTTTGAGCACATAGAACAAATTATCATTACTCCTTAGTTACCCTGGTATAAAAGATTTTGACAGCCATTTCCCTCAGCAGTTTTAAAGGGCGAACGTTACATTTCCTGCCTTCCGTGCTTAAAAAAAAATCTACTTTTTAAAAATATTGAGTGTCTAAACTTGGTTATACATAGAAGGTATATTGCCTAGAAATTTTAGACTATACAATTCCCATTTTTTTTTTTTTGTTTCATTTATTTCCTTAGTTTCTAAGTCATCCAAATGAGCCCGAAAGCCGTAAGGGGTTTTACTTTCCTGACCCAGATGAATATTCCAGAATTAAATCAGTAGATGCATGAAAGTAAATTTACCTCTGTCGTTTTCAGCTTGATTTTAAAGGGAGGAAGGAAGCAGTGAAGGGACAGCCGTTAGCACTTGCGTAATCTTCAACCTTGTGGTCACTGCCCTCTAACACACCCCTCTTCTCATGAGCTCTTCCCCCTTGGATCCAAGTCTTACTACGTCCCTGTCATAACTCCAGATTATATTAAAGTGACTGTTACTACCAAAACTCTACCAATTAACTGACAGGTAGTTTCTTTTTAAAGGGGTTACTTATTTCTTTATTCTGACAAACTTCCAAAATTTGTTCCCTTTCTGAATTGAGGTTTTTGTGTTTTTTTGTTTTTGAAAAAATCATAACACTTTGGTAACTTCTGTTGCTTTTTTGTATTTTGCCAAGCATATATTCCTTGGCCCAAAACTGAAGGGGAAACGTTTACTCTTTTTTTTGTTGTTTAAATAAATTGAGTCATTTATAATAATCAGTGGTAACAATTTAGTGACCCATGGCAGATTAAAGATTGCATTATTCCTTTTTAGGTTCTTTTTTCTTTTTTCCTTAACTATTCTAGTTTTTGTACTTCAGAACTATGAGGGAAAGTTCACTGGTCTGTCACGAAATAGCAGTGACCTTTTATTCCTGAGTTGTACAGAGAAGTCCAGTGGGTCAGTCATTTCTTATGCAAATAAAATTGGTGACACTGGTATGTATCCAGAGCCATTTGAACTGTCAGCCTCATTGGTGGCTCTGTGAGGTGAAACATTCAGAATCCTACAGTTGGCATCTGATGTTTGAACTCCCCAGTGCTTTTACATCCTTGTGTCCTATGGCACTTTGACCTTTTTCACCTGCTACGATTCTAGGTCCTTATCAGTATTAACTTTCCATAGAGACTACAATGGGATGTATTCCTTTTCTGATATTTTCCTGCTGGCATACTCTGTTAAAAAATGAGACTCCTGTAACTTTTAGTTGACCATGAAAGATACTCAAACACATATTTAAACGCACAGCTGTATGTTCTTAAAGTTACAAAGAAAAAAGAGGGCTTTTTCTTATAGAAAACATTTGAGAAACAGTATACATTTAAACTTTTTCCATCGAACAAAGCAGTGAACATATTTATCTCCTCAGCTTTATAACACCTAGCAGTTGTGAATGCTGGGTCCCACCTGAGGTTTTATTGGAGTCTTCCATGCACTGAGTCTCAATAGAGCTCTCAGAAATGAGAGTCACAGAGTCACTTTAAAGGAATATCAACCACACTGAAGGTAAAACTTCATCTGATTCTGGATTTAGAAACTCCAGTTTTATTTGTATTCAAGAATCACTCACTTTAACTTCTTAGTAGAAGTTGAAATACTCCCAAGAGGATAAAATTTATTTTTCATTTTCTAGTAATATGGAAAACATTGATACGTGTAGAGAACTAGAAGACAAAAGTGAGTCTGCTCTTCATGTACAAATGCCTCCTGTATTTAAGACTGCCTATATCATGACGAATCAATTAGCGACCTCATAAAGAAAGATCATGAAACAATCAAGATGAAGGCATCATGAATTGGGTTATAATGCAGGAAGGTCATTTGTAAGATTGGAAAAACATTGAAAATCCATGTGCAACTTGGTTTTCAAGCATTCTGTCATTAGGCTCCTTAAGCAACTTGCCCGCCTTCCAGTTCAGGAGTCACACTGTGACCAGCAACCTGTTCAGATCCTTTGAGAAAGAGAAAGGGATCTGGCTCCCAGGACCCCTGACTTCCCAGTATTGCAAATGTGAGAGTACTGCAATTTGAGCTGAGTTTTACTGGAAGTGACTTACTGAGTCGGGTGTCTTTCCACACTCCAAGTAACTAGAGAAGGCAGTGCATCCAGTTCTGCACAGGTGAACTAACAAGCAAGGAAATAGGAACAAGTAACCTAGTCCTGGGTCAGACAGGCAGGAGATGAACAGACACTGAGTGAAAGAAAAGTGATTTGGGGGCTGTTAGAGAACAGCAAGAAGACTGGAGCTGAGGAGCCCAGCAGAGCGGTTAGGAAAGCATGTGAACTTCTAGAAGGGTAGAAGGGGGATCCTCAGGTAGGAGAGACCTGTCTTTTGTTCTTATTTTCCCCCTTCAACGTTGCATTACTCAGAAAACAGTTCCCAAATGCGATTTTCTAAGCCGTGACCAGAAGACTTTATTTCTAATGTAAAGAATTTAGAAAAAAATCCTATTTCTTATTGGAAAATAATACCCATAGTATTCCTTCAGTCGAAGAATTGGGATTCTTAGAAATCATTTCATTTTGCTTCCTAAACATTTCAGATTGCTGGTACTGTTTTCTCTTACTGGATTTTAATAGTTTCCATGAAATCTGCCTATCCCTCTCAAAAAACAAGTATTTTCTTCCTATCTAACATAATCAAATCTTGAAAATTAAGATAATTTCTCAGATTAAAAATGTCATTTTGATTGTATGGCTCCCTCAATGACAGAAATCACCATACTTCTGTCAAGTTTACTGAGAAATCAGTGTCATAGATAAGGGCTGTGGTGACCAGGTGAAGACAGCAGTCCTGAGAAGAATGAATCCCATTTATCAGTTTGGTTCATTTTTTTTCTGGCTGGTCTAAATTTTTCTTGCATTTGATCATTAACTAAAGCAAGAAGAGTTGAAAACTGTAATTCTCTGCATTTCAGACGTTAGTCTTGATAGGGAGTCTTAAAATTTCTCAGAATTTTACATTGCATTGTAAGTCTAGACAACGCTAGAGCCTATGGTCATGTGGGGTAGAGCTGGGTAGAGCTAAAGGAGTTTGTGCTTTTCAGTGTTCCAGACCAACCATTCAACCAGCCTTCACCACGCTCCGCTTACAAATGTGAAGAAGATTTGGAGTTTAGGTTCAGCGATACAAGAGGCTGGGGAGCGGAAGGGAGGCTGTTGACTGGTGTGGCTCGTAATAATTCTTGTGTGAATTGTCCAGACTCTGATACGGAGTTGCCCTCAGAAGCAACCTTCCAGAATATATTTGCTTAATTATGGAGGGAGAAGAAGTAAGAGAGACAAAATCAAAGTTTCCCCTGAAGTGAGGAGAACCATTATACTCATTTTCCACTGAAGTGGGTTTCCTTGTCATACACCTTTGGTTTGTTTTATTATTGAATCAGTGTCTGGTGCCATCAACTTAAGAGGACAATCAAAAATCATCTGTTGTTTGCCTTGGATTCCGTGTGTCTGCTAGTGACACGGTCCGCCTGATGGACGTCCACTCTGCTGCTGTGCTTCGTCCTCTGTCCTTTGCTCTGTCCCGCCACCAGCCTGTGGCAGGACGTGGACTTCAGGGAGGAGCAGGCTTCCTAATCACTGTCTCTGAGGGCCCTGCCTTCACGTCCTGGAGCCACACCAGCGTGCTGGGAGTAGGGAGAACGATCGTGAGAAATCCCAAAGTCACTGTTCACGATAATTGTTATTCTTTTGAACTGTGAAGTAAAACTGTGAGAAACTCATGTTTCAGTTGAAAAAAGAACAGAACTCTTAAACTTTATCACATTGTGAAGATTAATTTTTTGCCGTTTTCAGGATTAGCACAGACCCTTGTATTAATGAAGAATACTGAGGAGGGGAATGGGGTGAGACATGTTTTTCTTTTCGGACTCCCTCCCTCCACTTCTGTTCCCCTCACCCTGCTCCCCAACAAACGATGCTGTTTTATGAACCCTGAGCCGTGTTCTCAGGAGTAACTCGATTGTGGTTAGTCCTCTGGATGCTTCTTCCTCTCCCGTTCTCCTTCCTTGCTTTCTTACTCTCCACTCTGGTAAATGGAAAAGGTGACGTCAGAGAATTGACACTTGCTTGGATTCCTGTTGTATCTGTGACTATGCTATTAGCTGTCTCCTTTTTCCTCCTTATATGGGTAGAATTCTTATGCCATGTGGACTTCCCTTCTTGATAAGTAGTTCAATGCACAATGTGGTACTGTTTTATAGTTTCTAGATGGTTGTACAAAGCAAAAAGTTAATGTGGTTATGTGTTTTTAAAAGCAAATAAGTGATTGGTTACAAAACTGTCCTTTTTTCATTATTACAAGCTCTCTGTTTTCCAACAGTCTTCTGGCTCCTTTGTCACTGGTGAATGGTCTGTGTGACTGTGCTTCCCTTCTGGGTGTCTTGGCTCTCTGAACACAGCTCCCCATGGTACTAACTTGTATGTGGGTTTAGAACAACAGACTACAATGGTGAATTTTTTAAAAAAACTTTTACTAAGTTAAAAATAACTGTAAGTGACCTTGTTCTTCAGGTAAATATGAGGTATGACATGAAAGCAATGGGACTGATGCAATAAGCCTTTTTTTTTTTTTTTAATCCTCACAGAGAATCTCAAGTAGATGAAACAGTAGTTCCAGCTCCATGAAGGAGGGCTGGGCACTTGTTACCACTGTGGAACTCTGTGGTAGTTTCTGCAGGACTTCCTGGATTAATGATTAAGTATTAAGCTTTATGTTTATTGAGGGAAAATATGAGGGGGAGGCTAAGATTGAATACACAAAGGAAAACATCATTTGCTGTCTAAAGCACGAGGGCCTTTCATTTTCAGTACCACAAGCTCTGGGCCTCACCCTCTTTCTTTGTCGCCTAAGTCTGAACATGCTAATTAAGGCATTCCCACACAAATGTCAGGTTGGGCTGTGCACATGTATGAGTCACCAGATAACTCAACACCCCTGTCTACAGTCTGACAATGCCTACAGCATCTCGGTTGCACAGGGATTCATGAATCAGTTCAGTTTGTCTATCAAGAGACAAAGACCCTGAGCAGGTGGGATTCTAGGAGACCACTCTCCTTTTTTTGCCATCTTAGGCATATCCAGCATCTTAGGGCTTTTAGTGTCTTGTATCTTTATATGGGTAATTTCTATTAAATCTTTTTTAAGCTTATGAGAATAATGACCAATTTGATACTTCCCAATTCATTTCTTTTTCTAATTCTCCACATTTTCCTTTAGGGGATTGTGGAGTTGTTATATTTTTCCCCCTTTTGGTAAAAATTCTTTTAAATCTTTAAAAACTCATCATAATTATACTACATAATCTGTTCCCAAGCAGAACAGCAACAACAAAAACTGGGATTCACTTCATTTCATAGAACCAGCATAAGCCTAGTGCCAGCCGGGACAAAGCTAACACAGTAAATGATGGCCCTGTCTCATGTATGAACGTAGACACACACATCCGAAAGAAACGCCAGCACATCAGTCTCTTGGTGCCACTGCCGGCTGTGTGAGATGCAGGGCTAAGTCTGCCTTTCTGAGGCCATGCCGCCCTGAATGCGCCCCAGCTCACCGGATCTCCAAAGCTAAGTGGGTCGGGCCCGGGGGTTCTCGTGTGTGTAAAAGGTTAATTCAGTGTGTGTTTATTGAGCTCCTATCAGGCTTGGCATTACCTTAGTAGTTTTAATTTCAGCATCAGTTTTACAACGACAAGAAAGGAAATGGGACACTTTTTTCTGATCTACCTATCAGAAGCCACTGCCCTGTGTCAGAGTTTTCTGCTACTGGGTCCAGCGTTGTGGCATAGAAGGTAAAGCCACCGGCTGCAACACTAGCATCCCACATGGTTCCCAGGTCAAGTCCCGGCTGCTCGCGCCCTGCTAATGCACCTGGGAAAGCAGAGAAGACGGCCTACATGCTTGGGCCCCTGCACCCACGTGGGAGACCTGGAAGAAGTTCCTGGCTTTGGCCTGGCACAGCCATGGCTGTTTCCATTATTGGAGAGTAAACCAGTGAATGGAATATCCATCCATTCATCCATTCTCTGTCTCCCTGTCCCTCTCCCTCCCTGTAATTCTGACTTTAAAATAAAGAAGTTTTCTTTAAAAGACTCATGAATACATTACTCTATGTTTAAGATTTAAAAAAAAAAAATTTTTTTTTTAACAGGCAGAGTGGACAGTTAGAAAGACAGAGAAAGGTCTTCCTTTTGCCGTTGGTTCACCCCCCAATGGCCGCTGCGGCTGGTGCACCGCACTGATCCGAAGGCAGGAGCCAGGTGCTTCTCCTGGTCTCCCATGGGGTGCAGGGCCCAAGCACTTGGGCCATCCTCCACTGCACTCCCGGGCCATGGCAGAGAGCTGGACGGGAAGAGGGGCAACCAGGACAGAATCTGGCGCCCTGACCGGGACTAGAACCTGGTGTGCCGGCACCGCAGGTGGAAGATTAGCCTAGTGAGCCGCAGCACTGGCCAAGATTTTTTCTGATACCAAAACCTGTCCTTGTAATCTTACGGTTTACTTAATGAAGTATAATTGAGGTCTCATTTGAATGGTTATATTTTCTTTAAAAAAATACATTTTTTGAAAGAGTAACACAGAAAGTCTTCCATCTGCTGATTGACTCCCCACTGGCTGCAGCTCCATCCAGGTCTCGCACATGGGTGCAGGAGCCCAAGCACTTGGCCTCTTCCACTGTTTCCCAGATGCATTAGCAGGGAGCTGGATCAGAGCAGAGCAGTTGGGCTCCGTTCACAGAGCCTTAACCTGCGGGGCCAAGATGCTGGTCCTGTCTTTCTGATCCTTCTGTGAAAACATAGTTCTCATGACAGCTACATAACAGGTAGCCAATTCTAGGTTTGTAAATTACTGTGTCTTTCTCAAGTTATAGCTGGTCAGGTTAGAATACAACCATTTCAAAGAAAGAGAACACCCTGCTCCTACCCACAAAATGTGTGCATGGGCCCTTCAAAAGGTTCATGGGAAATGCATATTAAGGCAAAACTCTGCATGGGTTCTCACAGCACCATCAGCGGCAGCGGCAGCGGCAGCAGCATCTCACTGTGACCCCGGGTAGGCTCCCAGGGGGAGGCGCACCCCCTGCAGCTTCTGCAGCCCAGCGTCCCTGCTGTTAGGTGCCAAGTGTCTGGCTAGGAACGGAGGCCGCGCCTTGCCCCAGATCTGACTGAAGGAGGAGAACCTAGGTCTGCCTGCCGCTTCCACGGAGACGGGTTCTTTCCAGGTCACTCAGAGGAAGCGTGATGACCACAGGGGGTGGGGGACAGCGGCGGAGGTGGGCACCGCCACTGTCCTGCTTCCTGCTGCCCCAGGCCCTGGCCACTGGGCAGCCTCCTCCACACCTTGGGCTTCCACATTGTCCTGTCTTTGACTCAATCCCCGCCTTTCAGATAAAGATTACGTTTCTCATCACTGTGCTCTCCTGTCGTGAAATCCTGCCAGGTTCCAAAAACTGAAGATCAGTGTCGATGAGCCAAGGAGTGACAGGTTCCCTTGGGCCCCTGGGAACTGCCAGCCGGGGGACCCTGTGTACCATTCCCCAGAGACGCCCATTCCCGAGGTCCAGGTGTCCCCAGGAGCAACTGTGTCCGCCTCTGGGGGGCGCCATGGAGCCCTGGCCTTGGCGAACTTTGCCCATCCCTTCACCTCCACAGTATTTTATCCAGCATCACATTGAGCGCTTGGTGCATCTGGCCCAGGGTCCTCACGGATCGCAGGCTGGAGGGTAATCCCAAGTGTGAGTGCAGTGCAGGGTGCTGGGTCAGGTGTGGATGAACTGACGAGGCAGGGATTCCTCGGCTGGGGCTCCCATGGGAAACCATCATGAAGCCAGGGCCTGGCGGTGAGCAGGAACCAAACACATCATGAACGAGTGCATGAATGCATGCGCGCGCACCCAGCGTGAGGACGGCGAGGGGCAGCCTGCCCAGGCGCAGGCTTAGAAACACGGCACACTGGCAGAACAGGTGGCCCAGTGTGGGCCTGCCTCCCCTCCCCTATGGGATGAGTATCTGTGGCCCCTCCCTCCTGGTCAGCATGGCCGCTCGTGGCTTGGGCATCCTGGGAGCTCTCGTCGGGCCCTGCTGTGGGTCGGGATACTGGGTGTCGTCCTACAGACGCCCACCTGTGTGAGTGAGACGGTGCCATGTGCGATTCCGCCTGCCTCTTGTGGACTTTGTAAGGGGGCTGGGGGCGTTAGTGTACAGTCCAGGCTGAAGAGGAAGGGGCCTCCTGCAGGAGCCATGGGGAGGGGTGGCTCCTGCCTCGGAGCTCAGGGATGTGGCCCTCCCTCCCTGAGGGCTTCAGGAAGAGGAGGCAGCCGTGAGACCTCGGCTGGACTCACTTTGGACACCTGGGCAGGGGAGTCCGAGATGACCACTCCAGTAAACACACAGGTGACAAAAAAAGCAAAACAGGGCAGGCACTTATCCTAGCAGTTAAAACACCAGTTAAGAACTCAACGTCAGGGCTGGTGCTGTGGCACACAGGGTTAATGCCCCAGCCTGCAGTGCTGGCATCCCATATGGGCACAGGTTCGAGTCCTGGCTGCTCCACTTCCGATCCAGCTCTCTGCTATGGCCTGGGAAAGCAGTAGAAGATGGCCCAAGTCCTTGGGCCCCTGCACCCATGTGGGAGACCCGGAAGAAGCTCCTGGCTCCTGGCTCTGAATCAGCACAGCTCCAGCTGTTGTGGCCATCTGGGGAGTGAACCATCAGATGGAAGACCTCTCTCTCTCTCTCTCTCTGTCTCTCCTCTCTCTGTGTAACTCTTTCAAATAAATAAATCATAAAAAAAAAAAAGGAACTTCACGTCACATGTCTGAGTACTGGGGTTCAGCCTCCCTTGTAGGTGAGCAAAGAGGCAGAGTCCTGAGGTGGCAGCCACTGCTGTTGAAGCAGCTGTGGACACTGGAATGACGACACGGATTTGAGCAGGACAAGCTTAGCTGACCCAGCAGCCTCAGGGTGAGCGGGCCCAGGCTCTAATTCTGAAAGAAGTTTACTGTGGGTAAAATGCCATCAGCAGTGCGTGCTGTGGAGACACACTTGGAAAGAGGAAGACAAGTGGCGTGACCAGCTTCGCTGCTGTTCTAATGACTTTCCACAACTACACCATATTTCAGCAACCGTCGCCCTAATCAATTAACAGCTGGCGACACTGAGATAAGAGCTCCCTGAAAAGTAAAGTGATCACCAGCATGTTTTTGCAATGAAGTATTTTTAAAATTAAAAAAAATACACATGTTGGGTTTTTGTTTTTTTAGAATAATGCTATTGCATACTTAATGATCTACAAGATAGTCTAAATATAATTTACATGCA